ATGAGTGAGAACATGCGGTGTTTGATCTTCTGCTCCTCTGTCAGTTTGCTGAGAATGATGGTTTCCAGGTTCATCCATGTCCCCACAAAGGACCCAAACTCATCGTTTTTAATGGCTGCATAATATTCCATGGTGTATATGTGCCACATTTTCCCTATCCAGTCTATCGTCGATGGGCATTTGGGTTGGTTCCCAACTTCAGGTTTCTTTACTTTCATGGTTACCTCATAAAGCCGTGAATCTAATATTTATATTTTTCATTTGATATTTTATATAAGAGGGTCCCTCAAATTGTGTAAGAACTCTCAGAACTAGGATCATCCATGCTGGATTTGGGCTTACATGAGATAGGGAGAGGGACTCCTATATTTGTACATGAAGGTTGGTGACTGCATTTCTAGATACTTGTTCTTTTTAGGCTGTGCCTCCTTTTGGCCTGAAATGTCTTTGTCATGTAGGCATATGCTACTGATGTCTGAGATGAGGATCTTCTGTCTCTGCCCTTAGGCCCATCAAGGACCAAGAGGTCTCCTATAACTGACTCAGCCACTCCCTTGTCCTCATATATTTGTCATTCCTGTTGTGGCATCAGGGCCAGCCAACTGCCACTCTTCTGCCTCTTCAGTGGGGTCCCTCTAACATCCCAACACAGAAACTGTCATGACAAGTGGCCTGGATCTTGATTCCATCACCTGAAGTGATTTAAAAACTTCTAGCTACCTAGCAATCCACAAGGAACTAGGCCAGTTTTGCCTCATTACCATGATATTGAGAGCCTAAGAAAGGAAAGAAAATATTTTAGGTAACATGTCAAAATTTTAATACATAGCATTGCTAGGGACTCAAAAATCCTGAATTGGAAATTTAAAAACTGAATATCAAATCTTTAATTTATATTCCTGCTGTAAGAGTCCCCTTCTTGCCCTTCATCTCTATTCCTGCTAGGATAGATGAATACCTCTGAGAAACAATGGAGCAGATTCCATAAACAAAGATGCAAAAGAGAAAATCACAATAATGTATTCAAAAATATATTAATCATACTACATAATTACAAGTAATAAATGCCATTTTCATTGTATAGGAGCATGGAAGACGGAGTAATAACATGTTCAACTCAATGCTAAATAAATTACTGCCTATGGATGTGGGATATTTCAGTGTACAAGGATGCTGCAAGTGCAGGGCAGAGAAGCAATGTGAATTCACCAATACTCTTCTGAGAATGTAAATGTACATTGTTTTCCCATTTCTTGGCCACGTGCCACTTAATATTTGCAGAGGAACACAGATATTATGATGACAAGTATTTTTTCCCTTTTGTATCAACCATTTAAAATTCCTTTTGCCTGCCTACTATTTTAATATTAATACTTTACATATGCAGACTAAAAGTTCATAGTATCCATGAATTGAGATGATACTAATAATAATCTGCGAAATAAAGCTTATTGGTTGCATCCTTTTTTAGCTCAGTGGATTTATATATTTGCTGTAGATCAAGATTTTCAAAATGACATAATGGATCAGAAATATCAGCATCACCTTAAAACTTGTTATAAATGAAAATTAACTTTGTAAACTCAATAGGTAAGGGTCAGCAAACTGTTGTTTTAACAGGCCCTTTCAATGATTTTGATGTATGATAAAGTATAAAAATGATTGCCTTAGATTAAAAATCGAATACATCATAAAATGCTTATTGTCTATTAAGCATTATATATTTTTCTGAAATGTGTGAGATGTATATACATTACTATATATATATATATTTGGTTAAAAATAAAAATAATATCAAAGTCTATCTACTCAACTATTTATCTAACTATCCAAGCCAGAGTTACATGCTTATATGAGCACATCCAACTACTTACTTGAGAAACTCCAAAAGTGAAGAGTGTTGCCTGTGAAGTTGAATTATCCTTTCATTATTATCCACAGGTAAAGATTGACTTGAACTAATTCCAGGTGGCATTGTTCCACTCAAATGGAGGAGCACATCATAAATTGTTTTATTATATTTGGAAAAATCATTCTGTCTGGAAAACTTTTGAGGTGATGAGGTTGATGAGTAGGGTTTCATTTTATATACATCCCTATGAGAAAGAGACTTTAAATTAAAAGCAGTCTCGAAATGTTATACTATGAAAAAAAATGTTCAATTCAATAACTAAATCTCTATTAAAATCAACTAAGTAAGAAATTCCATAATATGCTTCACTCAGTTACCATTTGTTAGTCAAAAAAAAGATCTGTTAAATAATATCATAGATTTCCAGTATCTCATTTAAACACACATAATTGATGTTGCAACTGTCAAATCTGAAGTATTAGATTATGAACAGATTGAATCTGGAGAAGCAGAATAGAGATTGAATTTTAAACCCATCACCTACTAGCTGAATGAGTATGCAAGCTATCTAAACTCACTGAGCTCAATTTTGCATGATATAAATTGGAGCTAATAAGGCCTATAATAGTTTCCAAGATAAATTTCAAACATTTATCACACATGTATATACAAAAATAATTTACACACATTTTCTCGGTATTTATATTTTAATGCTTAGGAGGGCACATCCTGCACATTGGCCTAATAAGCAGGGATTTTCATTTTAAAGACAAAGTCCACAGATAATATATATTCCTCCGTGCTTTAAATGAGATACTGAAATTCCTACTTCCTAGTAATATTGCACAAGGTTGTGATACATACTGACTTTTAATGAAGTTAAAAATTATCACCTGTTCTGGCTGTCTATAATTTATTAAATACCTCATACCACACTAATTGTGTTAGCAGTGAAGGTCACAGATACATCATTTGCTTAGACTGACAAATAAAAAGTATCCAAGGCCATTTTGAATGGCAATTCCCCAGTTTGGTAGATAGGAAGTTCATACAGAAGAAAATACATTCTACTGGGCAAGAAACAGACTACCACTGCTCAAAAAATGGCTATTCCACTTACTGGATTACATTATAAAAGTTACTTGACTTTTCTGTTCCTTAGTTTCCTCATAATGGATATGATGGAACTAGTGTATCCTGAAGTTACCAGGAAAAAAAGAAACAAATATTTTATGGAGAAAATTAACACCACTATCGGTCAAGATTAATGCAAATGAAAAGGAACAATAGAGAACAAAAATAGACACTCAGGGATCCCAGGTATTATAGTTGTAAGACAGGTTTTAAACTAAATGTACTATGTTCAAAACTGAGAATTTTTTCATGGAACAATAAATTACATAAAAATTGACTAAATGGAACATTCACAAATAAAAATCTGAATAAATAAAATTAAGAAATCAATGATGTGCTTAACAGCAGATTAAATGAAATAAAAAATCACTGCAGTGAAATATAGGTCATAGAAAAGTATTCATACTGCAACATTTCAGAAAATAAAAATCATCCTACCTGCAAGATTAAAGATTCAAAAAGAATAAAGAACAATGACATTGATAAATATATAGGCAAATATAAACTGATTAAAAACAAGAATTAAACAAAAATATTAATATTGTTAAATCATTATTCTTTAATGACTCCATATTTGTCTATATATAGTTTAACTATATTCTTTTTAGTCTTACTTATATATTAATATGTCAAAGGATTTTGTTTATTTTTCAATTATGAAAATCCCCTACTTTGGAGATTAAAAATATTCAAAAGGCTCACCCACCACTGTCACCAGCAAACATGCAGTAAAATAATAAATAAAATTATTTTAAACATAAGAACTGTAGAGTATCTCATTATTGCTATACCAGTATGCAAAAGTAAAAAGAATTCAAGGAACACAACTAGAATGAGTTATTAAAACCACTTTCATTTTAATACTTAGCTTGAATCTAAAGTCAAGTTTCTATAACTTTGTTGGACACTGTTGACAGTATAAATGGGCAGGATGCCCAGAAATGGAAGTGACACTTCACTTTCATACTATTAAATTTATCAGTGTGATTGCCAGCACAGCTCAAAGCTGCAAAGAGAAAAGCATGCTGTGCTATATATATATTATATATATACACACACATATATAAGTATATATACACATATATGTATATATGTACATATGTGTGTGTGTATGTGTATGTGTCTGTGTGTGTATGTCTATGTATGTATGTAAAAGTCAAATGATCCTGAAGCAAGCTGGGAAAACATCCTGCAAAGAAAGATGAAATATTATTAATAAAATGTAATTTGAAAAAGTGGTGTCTTGAAAATGTTGAGTTTTAAACTGACTCTCTACTGCCAAATACAAGAAAAGTTAGTGAATATGATTAATGAAATTAGAAATACATAACAATATTAACATAATCCAAATTAAATTTATTAATAATAGCTAATACTTACTGAAGACTTACTAGTTCCTAAGGTATGCTCTGATATGCATTAAATATATTACCTTATAAATGTTACAACATCTGTATTGGTTAGGTATTATCATTATCTCCTTTTCTACAGATGAGTAAATGGAGGCATAAAGGAAATATTTTCCTCATTTCATATCTCTTGTTATGAAAGATAAAACATTCCACTGGATGAATTTGATTTTCTGTAAGATTCTATGTATTATACTAAATGAGAGGCTCTGGGATGGAATAGTTAGCATTGGAACAAGCTTTCCTTAAGCTTCCCCTTAAGCTTCCTGACTGGCATTCTAGCTGGTTATTTGTATGTGGCAGCTGCAGGAAGCTTCATGCTAGAGTGGAATCCTGGAATAGCATCTATATGTACTGCAATTACTTCTCTCAGAATAAGTGGTATTTCCAGTAAGATTCAAATGACTCTATGGTTAGTTGCTTAGAGATCTTCCCAGTGGCGTTTATAAAAAATGTTATTCCCACAATTCACCCAACTTGAAAAGAATAGACTATAATATTTACCACATTTTCTGTGATTATCTCTGAAACATAAATTGTGTTTTCTTGTCTTTTTCAAGGGCTACTTCTATCTTCTGGTGATTTGGGGGAAGAGCTAAAAAGAAATAATATCTAAGGGCTTCTAGGAACTGAAAAGAGACTGATGCTCAAAGTCATTAATCATAAAGGAAGTGCAAATTAAAATCCCAATGAGATATTATCTCACATCTGTTAGACTAACTTATAAAAAATATGAATAACAAGTGTTGGAGAAGATGTGGAGAAAAGGGAACCCTTACACACTTCTGGCAGGAAGGTAAATTAGTACAGCCATATGGAAAACATTATGGAGGTTCCTCAAAAAATTAAAAATAAAACTAGGGTTTTCTAAGCGTAAAATCATATCATCAGTGAAGACAGCAAGTAAGAATTCTTTTTTTCTTATTTGGATGCCTTTTGTTTCTTTCTCTTGCCTTGCTCTGAAAAGGAATTCCCATACTCTTTGGAATAGGAGTGGTCAAAGTGGGCATCCTTGTTTTGTTCTAGTACTCAAGGGAAATGGTTCAAGCTCATGCCCATTCAGTATGCTGTTGGCTGTCATAGATGACTCTTGTTATTTTGAGGTATGTTACTTTATTGGTGACTCTGTTGAGGTTTTTTTTTTTTTTTATCATAAAGGGATATCAGACATTATTGAAGGTTTTTATTAAATCTATTGAGGTGATCATACGATTTTTGTTTTTAATTCCATATATGTGGCGAATCATGTTGATTATTCTGTGTATGTTGAATCAACCTTGCATCCCAGGAATGAAGCCTACTTGATCATGGTGAATGAGCATTTTGATGTCCTACTGGATTCAGTTTGCTAATATTTTATTGAGGATTTTTAAATCTATGTTCGTCAGGAATATTGGCCTACAGTTTTTTTTTTGTTTTTTTTCCACTGTGTCTCTGCCAAGTTTTCGTATCACAGTGATGTTGGCTTCCAAGAGTGAGTTAGGGAGGAGTCCTTTCTCCTTGATTTTTTGGAACAGAATCAGTATAGTTGTTAACAGCTCTTCTTTGTTTATCTGGTAGAATCTGTCTGTGAATTAATTTGGTCCATGGCTTTTGTTAGCAGGTTTTTTTGTTACTGATCCAATGTTAGAAATCAATATTGATCTGTTCAGAGATTCAACGTCTTCCTGATTCAATCTTTAGAGGTTGTGTGCTTCCAGGAATTTATCCACTTTCTCTAAATTTTCTAGTTCTTGCACATAGAAGTGTTCATAAACATCTCTTAGGATCCTTTGTATTTCTTGGGAACAGTTGTAATGTCACCTTTAGTAATTCTGATTGTGCTTATTTGCATGTTCTTCCTTTTTTTCTTTGTTATTCTAGCTAGTAGTCTATCAATCTTGTTTCTCTTTTCAAAAAACCAAGTTTTGGTTTTGTTGATTCTTTGCATGTGTTTTTGAGTTTCAAATTCATTTAGTTTTGCTCATGTTTTAGTAATTTCTTTTCTTTCACTAGCTTTTGGGGTTAGTTTTTCTAGTGCCTCAATGTGTGAAGTTTAGTTTGAGATTTTTCTTTTCTTTTTCTTTCTTTCTCTTTTTTTTTTTTTTTTTTTTTTTTTTTTTTTTTTTTTTTTTTTTTTTTTTTTTTTTTTTTTGAGACAGTGTCTCACTCTGTCATTCAGGCTGGAGTGCAGTGGCATGATCTCATCTTACTGCAACCTCTGCTTCACAGGTTAAATTCTCCTGCCTCGGCCTCCCTATTAGCTCAGACTACAGGAGTGTGTTACCATGCTTGCCTAATTTTTTGTATTTTTGTAGAGACAGGGTTTCACCATGTTGGCCAGGCTGGTCTCAAACTCCTGACCTCAGGCGATCTGCCCACCTCAGCCTCACAAAGTGCTAGGATTATAGGCATGAGCCACTGTGCCCAGCAATTTTAAATCTTTTTAACTTTTTGCGGTAGATGTTTAGTATTATAAACTTTCCCCTTAACAATGTTTTTGCTGCATCCCAGAGATTTCTTGTAACTGATAAATTACTTCAGCAAAGTTTGAAGATACAAAAGCAATGTACAAAAATTGGTAGCATTTCTATACACGAATAATGTTCATACTGAGAGCCAAATCAAGAAGGCAATCCTATTTACAATAGCCACAAAAAAAATAAAATACCTAAGAATACATCTGACCAAGGGGGTAAAAGATCTATGTAAGGAGATCTAT